GGGACCGGGGTGCGAGGCGCGTGTCCCAACGGAGTCAACCCCACCGCCGCCTTGTCGACCGAGGAATTCAGACTTGTTTACTTTTCGGCCATCCGTCTTGGCGTCAGGCCGAGGCCCCGGAGTCACGGGTTCCGTCGGACTGGAGAAGCAGATCGAGGGCCACCCCGATCGCTCCGCCATGTGGGCATGTCTATTTCCCCCCGACCGGAGGAGCGAACGGGCGCGCAAGGGGGGGGGGGGGGGGCGGTGTTCAGCGCTGGGCCGGCTTCAAGGTCAACAGCGAGGTCGAGCGCCGGCAAATGGGGCAGACGACGCCGTGCGCCGTGCGCAGGTACGTCAGCCAGCAGTTGTAGCAGCCGGCATGCTCGCATCCGGCCACGAAGGGCGGGCTCCCGGTGACGAGAGCCCCGGCACGCGGGCGCACCAGCGCCTTCCGGCAGAAGAGACACGACGAGCAGCCGGGCGAGCCACTCGCCCCGGGGCCGCCGCCGCCGGCAAACAGCAGATCCGACAGGCTGGCCACCCCGGCCGGGGCGCTGGCTGCCTGGCGCCGGGTGCCGGCCGCGCGCGCCTGCGCCACGATCGCCGCAGACGCACGGGCCGACGGGGCAGCCACGTCCACGCCCCGAGGCAGGCCTCGAGTCGGGCCCGGGCCCGGGGCCGGGGCCGGGGCCGGGATCGGACCCGGCACCGGGACCGGGGCCAAAGGCGGGGGCTGCCTCCGGCTTGCGGCCGGCCCGGCCGGAGCAGCCTCGGAGCCTGACCGCTGCTGCCCCGGGGCCACCGGCATCGACGAAGACAGCGCCTGGATGGAGGCCGTGCGCTGGCCAACATCCGGCACCAGGGGCACATTGGCGGCGGTCACCTTGCCAGGCAGCCCGGCAGCCCGGAAGAATGCACAGTCGGGCTGGTCGCCGAGAAACTCCAGGCACGATTCATTGTCTGACCGGCGGCCCATCCCGATGGGCGAGCGGGCGTGCAGCGAGGAGGGGGGGGGGGCGCGGGGCGCGGGGGAGATGGCGATCGAATGTCAGTCACGGCCAGGTGCGGGCCACGGCCCAAATGCCAGCCAGATGAAGGTGTGCCCGGTGCTGGCCACGCACAGCCGGCCGCAAACTCCCCAGGCACGAAGGACCGAAAGCCGCGGAGGACGCCGATCTGATCAGACCGACTGAGACCACGCGAGATGAGCACAAACAGCCGCGCATACAAATCGTTCCCCGGGCCGAAGAAGGCCCGCCTGGCGGCGGCCTGCTGCTCCCGGCCCCGGGCCCCGGAGCACCCGTCCCGAATTTGCACCAGCAGCCGCACAAACGGCCGCAGCGTCTCGGCCGGCATCACCTGGCGCAGGTAATTCAGGTAGGAAGAGGGCGCACCGCCCGAGGCGGCAGTGGCACCGGGCGTGGGCTTGCCGGCCCCGCCGGCCATGGACTCCTCGCCCGATGCCAGGACCGTGGCCCCGGTGGCCAGTCGCCGCAAGGTGGCATCCGAGTGGTGCAGGGTGTCCGACCGGACCGCCGCCAGGCGCTGGCTCGTCTCCAGCGTGGCACTGTGCTCGGCCTCGGCCCACCGATCGGCCGTAGCGCCCCCCTTGTCCAATTCCCCATCGGACGGGTGCTCCTCATCCGGCTTCAGTGTCAAGGTCGGCCGGGGCCCGGTCCGCCAGCGTTCCCTCAAGGCGGCCCGGCTGGCGGGCTCCAGCGCGGCCCCGGCCGCGGGCTGCGTCGGCGTGGACTCATGGTCGGAGGCCTCCTCCGCGGCAGCCACGGCGGCGGGGGCGGCGAGGTCACCCGCCGCCCCATCGGCCGGGCCGGTGGCCGAGCCAGGCACGCCACCCGCATTGAGGCCCATCGAATGCGCGGCGGCCACACGCTCGGGCGCCTCCTGGAAGAAGCCCGCCAGCCCGGCCAAAAGATGCTCAAAGTCCCACTCGGTGGAGAGACTCTGCCGAAACCAAATCGGCAAGCCGGACGCATGCGTCGGCCGGGAAAACCGCTCGTCCAGCAGGAAGACCGCCGAATAGTCGAACCGGTGCCGGATAGACCGGCCCAAGGCCTGGTTCACCGCCCGCATGGCCGACTGGTGGTACCACTCGGTTCCCGACAGGGTGGCCTCGGCCCCGGTGGTCCCCGGGGCCCGGCGCGCCGACTCGTCCAGGATCTCGCGCTTCAGCTTCACCCGCGGGTCGAGGTACGGCGCGAAGGGCAGCCCGGTGATGATCACCCCCCGGGAGAGGGAGTCCGCGAAGTCCACACCTTCGCTGGCCTTTCCGCGGCACACGGCAAAGAGCGCGCCCCCGGTCTGCCGGCCGGACAGCAGGGGCAGGGCGCCTTTGTCGCCCTCGACCGGGCGCCGCCGTGGCCGGCCGCCGCGCCGCTGCTCCACCGCCTCGTTCACCGACTGGTGGTAGTCATTGATGGCCTGCTCGAAGTCCTTCTTGCTCGAGCGCGGCTCCACCTGGATGAGCTTATGCCGGGACATCATCCCGAAGAGCGACTCGCCCGAGGCACCCGGTCGCCGCCAAAAGGCCAATGCCGATGCCATGACCGAGTACGTGGGGAAGAAGACCAGCACGCCGTCCGGGATGACAGCCATGAGTCGGACTGGTCGGGGGCGGGGGGGGGGGGGGGGGGGGGGGGGGGGGGGGGGGGGTGAGACGCGGAGGAGGGGAAACGGCAAACACATCGAGGAGCAGGCGGGAAACGACACAGTTCGGCACGGAGCAGGAAGCCATGATCTGCAAGGCAGGCAAGTGGACGTACCCAGCGTCAGACCAAGCTCCGACAGGTACTCCGACGAGCCGCGCCGCTCGAAGGACGAGTTGAGGACCACCCTGTTGGGACCGCGCGGGATGACCCGCGCGTACAGCTGGCTGGCCGGATCGATGACATGGCCATTCTCCAGCGTGAACTCGAAGGGCCTGGCGATTGCACCATGTCAGGAGGATGGCAGCACCATTGCCGAGGACCATGCCAGGGGGAGGAGGAGGGGGGGGGGTGCCCAAGTAAAAAAGGGCTTGTATACGTACGTCCGCAAATCGATGGCAAAGGACTTCAATGGAGACAAGGTGCCACTTGTGATGATGAAAGACCGCACCCCCTGGGCAGCCATCTCCTGCATCATGAGCCCCGGGTTGAAGCTCCAGAAGCCGATCTTGCGCGCTGCGAGCCAGGCCCATGTCAGTCAGCGGGGGGGGGGGGGGGCGGTGGCCGGAGGGTGGCCGGCAAGTGGCGGGAAGAGGGGGAAAAAAAAAGGGCAACACGAGGAAGACAACCAAAGTAAGGGGGGGGGGGGGGGGCGAAACACATACCGGCCGTCCCGCGCATGGAAAAGTTGCCGCCCGAGCCCGGGCCCGAGCCGCTCGGGCGCTCCTCCTGGATGACGAACTTGAAGAACTCGCGTGCGGCCTGCAGTCGGGCCACCTTGATGGCCTCCAATTGGCGCTTGGCTGGTGGGCCGCCACCTCCGGAGGTCAGCGACAGGGCCAGGTCCTCGATGGTGGACAGCGGCGAGCTGGCCCCCTCCTCGGTGTCAAACAGTCGCCGAAGGAAGGCCCGCACGGCCACCATGTGAATGGTGGACGAGGGAAGCCGCCGGCGCTCGGCATCGGCAGCCAAAATCTCCACAATCCCCTCGATGAAGGGGTGAAGCAGGGCAAAGCTGTCAAAGTCCACCCGACACTCGCCGAGCAGCGAATAGATGGCATCACCGGGCTGAATGGCCAGCCCCTCCGGGGAAAGAGGCAGCGCGTAGATCGCCCGCTCGATCTCCAACAGCAGAGCCTTGATCACAAGCACCGACGAGTCCGTGAGCATGACCTTTCCGCCGGAGCCCTGCCCGACATCAAGCTGGTCGTCATCCTGCCCCGTGGGCTTGGGGCCGAGCGACGTGGCATGTGCATCGCCCTTGGCCGCCGGCGCGGAATACCCGCCCTGGTACATGGAGAGCAGTGGCCGGACCCGGTCCAGCTCGGCCACCGCGCCCGAAATGGCCAGACCATCCAAGTCCATGGAGGCCGCATCCGACAGGAAGCCCTCCTGCATCGGGGAGTCAGTATAATGGTGGGCAAAGCCCCGCCAGGCCCAGGCCGATGGGGGGGGGGGGGGGAGGGGGGGAGGGGGCGCATATAGGACAAGGGGAGGGAGAACGCACCAGGTTGTGGCCCTCATCAAAGATGACAATCGAGTTTTGGAGGTTGATGCGCTGGGATCGCCGGACGGCCGGGTCCACCAGGTAGTTGTACGGCAGGAGAATGACATCCGACTCGTCCAAAGCCACGCGCGAAAGGAAAAACGGACAGACTCTGCAGCCGCCGCGGGCAGAGAGTCAGCACATGTACGGCGTGGC